ATGTCCTCTCAGAGCGGTGTTTGTCGGCGTGTTGGCGCATTCGATGTTGTGCCAGCTGCAAGTTCTCACGTAAATACTTGAGCAAGGCATCACGATCACGAAGAGTGATGTCAACGAGATGAACCGGAGAAGCCCCAGGAAGATAGGTCAAGACTTTGGGAGGTGGGTACCCATAAAGTGCCTGAAAAGGGGTCAGTTGGATGGCTGATTGGAATGTGGTATTGTACCACCATTCGGCCCAAGGCAACCATTGAATCCAGTCTCGCGGTTTGTTCATTACAAAACAGCGCAAGTAATGCTCAAGTGTGCGGTTCAATACTTCCGTTTGTCCGTCCGTCTGTGGGTGATAGGCGGAACTCTTGCAGAGAGTGGTGTTTTGGTGCTTAAAGAAGGCAGTCCAAAACTCACTGATAAAAATGGGATCACGATCACTGACGATGGAGGCCGGCATGCCATGAAGACGAAAAACCTCCTGAATAAAGATCTCGGCAATCTTGGGGGCAGAATATGGGTGTTTAATAGCAATAAAATGCCCATATTTGGAAAGGCGATCCACTATGACCAAAATGGCATTGCGGCCATGAACTGATGGAAGGCCCTTAATAAAATCCATCGCAATGTCTGACCAAACTTGGGTGGGAATGGGAAGGGGCTACAATGGTCCTGGGGGTTTCATGGACTTATAGTTGATCCTTTGGCAAGTGTCACAAGCTGCTACAAAAGTTTTCACCTCCTTTTTCAGGCCCGGCCAATTGAAATTGTTGGTCAAACGTTTATAAGTACGTAAGAACCCAGAATGGCCAACTGCGGGTGAGGCATGAAATTCATGGAGAAGACGAGTCCGCCATGCAGAGGACGCCGGAACAAAAATACCAGTTTTGTAGTAAAGGAGATCTCCTTGGAGTGTGAAAGGAGCCCGACTTGCAGGAGCTTCCCTTAAAGCCGTGAGAAGTGCAGAAGTGTGAGAGTCCAACTCGTAAGCCGCTTGAATTTCTGCAATACAATCGAAAAAAGGCTAAGAAAGACCCATTAAGGCAAGCATCTCTGAACGGCGGGACAGAGCATAGGCTGCGGCATTCAAAGTGCTGGGTCTATATTCCAGAGTATAGTTATACCCAAGCAACTTAAGCAACCATTTTTGTTGAGCCGGAGTAGTGATTCTCTGGTCAAGAAAGTATTTTAGAGTCTGGTGGTCCGTAAGGATCTTGAATGGGTGGCCAATCAAATAGACCCGCCATTTTTGAATTGCAAACACCACTGCCAGCATTTCTTTATCATACACAGAAAGTGCCTGATGGTTGGGTGCCAATGGCTTACTAAGAAACTCAATAGGGTGGTGGTCCTATGATAACACCGCACCAATACCGTGATTGGAAGCATCACACTAAATAGTAAATGGTTTGGTGAAATCCGGAAGAGCCAAAACTGGTGTGGTCGACATCGCCATTTTGAGGGCAGAAAAGGCGTTGTCGGCTGCAGGGGACCATTGAAAGTTGTCTTTGCGGAGTAAGTCAGTAAGAGGTCGAGTAATAATCCCAAAATTACGAACAAACTTGCGGTAATAGCCTGCGAGTCCCAAAAACCCCCGAAGGGCACGAATGGTGAAGGGAGGCGGCCAATCAGCAATGGCCGAGATTTTAGCAGAGTCCACTGACACTCCATCTGCTGAGATGATGTGCCCCAAATATGCAATCGAACGTTGGCCAAAAAGACATTTGGAAGACCTCAATTTCAACTGATGGTGGCGTAAAATCTGAAACACCGTCGTTAAATGAGTCACATGTTGGTCCGCCGAAGCACTAAACACCAAAATATCGTCGAAAAAGACAACGATAGATTTACGCAACAATGGCTTGAATATAGAATTCATCAAAGCTTGAAAGGTGGCGGGCGCATTGGTAAGGCCGAAGGGCATGACAGTGAACTCATAGTGGCCTTCGTGTGTCTGGAAGGCAGTTTTGGGAATGTCGGCCTCGTGCATTCGTATCTGATGATAGCCTGAACGCACCTTTTAATTCGGCTAATAATTCATCAATAATGGGAACTGGGAAACGGTCTTTAATGGTGATGGAATTCAGGGCCCGATAGTCGACACAAAAGCGCCAAGAGTCCGCCTCTTTTGCAACTAACAGTGCCGGCGACGAGAAGGGACTGAGACTAGGTTGTATGATACCGGCCGATAACATTTCGACAACTTGCCGTTCGAGTTCCGCTTTCTGGGCATGACCATAACGGTAAGGCTTCACATTGACAGGACTTGTGCCTGGAAGCAAACGGATACGATGATCAATAGCCCGATGGGGTGGTAGGGTTGTCGGCGGAAGGAAAAGGTCATCATATTGAAACAGTAGGGCTTGAATAATAGCTGGTGCAGGGGTTGCCATAGAGATGGAGGAACTGAGACTAGAGATCTGATGAAGCACATTGACCGAAGCATCAAGAGAAGAGTTCCCCTGCCGAGATACTGCTGACAATGTGGAAGGAATAATGGAAGTGCCCACCAATCGATAATTTGTTCCATCCACTGAGAATTCCATGATCTTGAGAAGAAAGTTCCATCCAACAAAGCCCAATGTCTCTAACCAGTCGAGACCAAGCATCATGTCACAACCCGTGACGCAAGGAGGTGAAAATTGTTCCTGAATGCATAACCTTGTAACCACACTGGAACATTGGAAGCCAAGCCTTTGGTACGAAAATAGCGCCCTGTTGCGAC